GGGGGGGGGGAAAGGCTTTTGTTTGTGCTCTTTGTTTTGGGGGTTGTTCGCTCTTGGGACTGAGAGGGACCAGACATCAATCCAGCTTCTCCAAATCTTTCTGAACAAGTCTCTCATATTTCAAACTTGTAAGTAACCAGCAGGGCAAGGCGTGTTAGTTTATCTTTGTTTTCTCAACTTGTAAATGTACCTTTTACTAGGGTGTTTACCTCTGTTTGCTGTAACTTTGAACCTAAGGCTAGAGGGGGGGTCCTCTGGGCTCTTTAAGTTTGATTACCCTGTAAAGTTATTTTCCATCCTGATTTTACAGAGATGATTTTTACCTTTTTCTTTAATTAAAAGCCTTCTTTTTAAGAACCTGATTGATTTTCCTTGTTTTTAGATCCAAGGGGGTTGGATCTAGATCCACCAGGAGTTGGTGGAAGGGAGGAGGGGGGATGGTTAATTTCTCCTTGTGTTAAGATCCAAGGGGTTTGGATCTGTATTCACCAGGGAATTGGTGAAGAGTATCTCAAGGCTACCCAGGGAAGGGGATTAGCATTGAGAGTGGTGGCAGCGGACCAGATCTAAGCTGGTAGTTAAGCTTAGAAGTTTTCATGCAGACCCCCACATCTGTACCCTAAAGTTCAGAGTGGGGAAGCAGCCTTGACAGACACTTCCCCATACCATAAGGTCAGGAAGTGCAGAAGAATCCCGTTTGATGGAAAACTGCATGGGCAAATTTAGGTCAGCAGAATTGTTATTCTGCAAGTATAAATGGTGCTTTACAAAAAAACACAAAAACAAAAGCTCTGCCAGATGAAGTCTACACTAAGCAGACTACAGTTCCCTGGAACTAGATTTTAGCCAAGACTCTGGAGTCAACGGCTGATCAGGGCCAGCTCCAGGCACCAGCGAAGGAAGCAGGTGCCTGGGGCGGCCAATAGAAAGGGACGGCACTCCGTCCATTATTGGGGCAGCACGTCCGGGTCTTCGGCGGCAATTCAGCGGCAGGTCCTTCACTCCCTCTTTTCCTCTTCGGTGGCAGCTCAATCAGGTTTTTCTTTCTTTTTTTTTCTTCGCCACTTGTGGCGGCAAAAAAGCTGGAGCCAGCCCTGCGGCTGACTCTTGTGAAAATAACCACAAATGGTCAAGACTTTGACTTTAAGCCTCATCTGTCAGCCTACCCTTCCTGCATCACAGCCCCCCAGCACCATGGTACGTCCTGGTGAAAGGAGCATCTCCTTACTGAATTGCTGACTCCCGATGCATTTCAGTGTGGCTCAGTGCTCCACCACAACACTGAGCAGACCTGACCATGACCTAAGGTGAGAATTTGTCCCTTTTCCTTCCATCGGCCCAATTCCCAGAGGGACATTCTCTCTGGTGAGAGCCTGACATGCATAACTGACAGAGACCAGTGGACGGAGACCACGACCAAAGCCCTTTTGAGACAGCTGGAGTGGGGAGGGTCCGAGGGCATTGCCAGAGGGCACTGCCAGCCGCCCCACCTGCCTCACCAGTGCCCCCCTCCTGCCTCACCATTGCCCCCCACCCCCCGCAGCACTGCCAGACTGCAGGGAGCTCAGGATCTCCTTGTACACAGGGTAGGTTTGCGGATCAGTCCTGACTGCCTGCTAGTCCCAGTGGATTTTTAAGATGTCTTCAGGAATGCAGCATCCTGGGAGCCTCCAACAGTTCCAGATTTTCAAGAGAGTTCAGCACCCTGTGTTAAAATGGGGTGTCCCAGCAGGAGCTGCTGCGGGCAGAGCACTGCTAAAGGTCTGGCCCTTCTTTAGTTGCTTAAACAGAGCTGGGCTCTTTGGAAAAAACAGGCCCCATCTGTGGGAGGGGGTCCCTTGGGAATCTGGGCCTTGGTGACTATTCTAACCATTTCATAATCTCACTGGCAGGAAAATACAGGTTGAACATCAGGGATGTTCCCTTTTATTTGTCGCTTCTCTTTATACCTCTTTGTACCACCCTAAAGAACATGCTGCTAGTTAAACGTTTGTAGACTGTTAGCACTTCTGCTCCAACTCAGCCCCTTTAGTCATCTCTTAGGCCAGGGATCCCCAACACGGTGCCTGCGGGCGCCATGACGCCCACTGGGGCATCTAAGTGCGCCCGCGTACTGGCCGGTGGACGAGCATCCGCTGAAATGCCACCGACAAGCAGCGTCATCCAGAGGCGTCGCCGCCTAAATGCCGCCGATTTTCGGCGGCGACACCTCTGGATGCTGCTGCTCGTCGGCAGCATTTTGGCGGTGACGCCTATTGACGTTGCTGCTTGTTGGCGACATTTCGGCGGATGCTGGTCTGCCGCCACGGTCCTCCGTGGCTCGTCAACTGGGGCCCGCCAGACAAAAAAGGTTGGGGACCACTGTCTTAAGTTTTGTCTACACTATACAGCTTTTAGCGACACAGCCATGTCACTAATAAGGGTATGTCTACACTGCGAAGTCATTGACAAAACTTTTGTCTTTCATGGGTACTTTAAACATCCCAGCCCCCAGCCCCCACGCGAAAGACAAAAGTTGTGCGGACACAAGTAGCAGTGTGAACGCAGCTTTGTTGGCAGGAGCCCTCTTTTGTTTTGTCATTCAATCGGCAGTGTAGACAAAGCCTTAGCCAAGCTACACACTTTTAGCTCTTTTAGTCTCTCCCCTATCAATCCATCCCTAAAGGCCCTGGGTTGTCAGCATTCTTGGAGAAGGAGCTCAGAAAGGAACACAGTCACCTAGGTGTGGTCACATCAGAGCCATATATAGTAAGGGACTATTAATCCCACACTTTGGAAAGCATCTGTGTATTCAGCCTAAAAAAAAAAAAGTCACATTTGCTTGTGCAGTGCAGTCACATTACAAGTTCATCTCTCTGACCTTATGTCGGTCTCTCTATCGCTGCTCCCCAGACTTCTCCCACCTACTGAATAGGAATGGTTTTGATTGTTTATCCCAGATGCATTAGCTTAACCGGGCCAAGTGAAATCTCATTTTGTGTTTCCTGCCCATATATCTAGTATCTCTCCTCTCCCATTCAGCACATTAAACAAAGATGTTATGTGAGACCAGATCCAGCAGCAACACTGATCCTATCTAGGGTTTGCAAGGTCACCCTTTGCTGTGCCTTCCACAAAGATTAAACATTACAAACTCTCTCCCCCCAGCCTTGCTGGCTAGAATGAGCAGAGCTTGCTAGAATTTTTCATTATCTGAAGTGAGAATGCTTCTGTGCCTCCGGGAATCATGAGGGGAAAGCCACGCAGAAGAGATAGGTTCTGCATTTAGTTTGCATGTGGCAAGAGTGCTGGTCTCTTATGTTGAAAGGCAGCAAGTTCAAGAGTCTGAGTCCAGGTTCTGGGAAAGTTCTGTGTCTTGTGGAAATGGGGCTCCTCTTGCTTGTTGACTACTTTTTCCCCCAAGGAAGCAAGCTGTTGTGCGAGGTCATCACCGCATGGAAGAGAAGGAATTCATAGATCCCAAGGCCAGAAGGGACTGTTGTGATCACTTAGTCTGACCTCCTGTACAACCCAGGCCAAAGACCTGCCCCCAAATAATCCCTAGAGCCAATCTTTTAGCAAAACATCCCATCTTGATTTTAAAATGGCCATGATGGAGAAAATTATCCCAATGGCTCATAACCCTCACTATTCAAATTTACAGCCTATTTCCAATCTGAATTTATCTAGCTTCAACTTCCAGCCACTGGATCGTGCTAGACCTTTTTTCTGCTAGATTGAAGAGCCCATTATTAAATATCTATTCCCCATGTCAGTCCCCCCTTAACCTTCTCTTTATTAAACTAAATAAACCAGGCTCCTTGAGTCTCTTGCTACAAGGCATGGTTTCTATCCCTTAACTCATTCCCGTTGTTCTTCTCTGAACCCTCTCCAATTTATCAACATCCTTCTGAGGCCACTACTATGCCAGGCTTCGAAAGCCAGAGCAGCAACCTTGAACTGGATTCTGGTTTCAATGGGAAGCCCACACAGCGATTGGTGATCACACCAACCCATGTTAGTGAGCAGCCATGTTGCTGTGTTC